GTATCAGATGAAGATAACAAAAATTCATATTAATTTACAAACTATTAGAATATTATGAATTAATGCCCAAAACAATACTAATAACAAAGATAAACTGATTAATGATAAGGGCTAATTTGTTTAATTTTGGAAATTTCCCAGTGATATTTGATGCGCGATACAAGAAATAAGTCTATATTTCTTTGCTTTGCTCTTGGTTTCTCTACTAAATTCACATTCAATTTGCACAGTACAGAAAATATTTTTACGTAGTATTTTAAAAAATTTCTAATAAATTATATTTTGTATTTAATAAGTAACCATAGCTCAAATATTAATAAATCTTGATGCATTACAGTCATATTCTTAACATTTTATTAAAATAATACATTTATTTTTTAAATAAAATCATACCACTATACAATTATGCATTTCATAAATTTTGCAAAATTACAAAAAATAATGAAAAACAAAAGATATAATTATTATTAAAAACAAATTGTAATAGTGTACAATATTATTTTAACAATTAAAAATACACTAATGTATATACACATACAATATACATTTGTACTGAAAAACTTTTAAATAATGAGAAAACAAGAAAAATAATACAAAAAAAAAAATATTTTCAATATTTCAATAATTTGTATTCAATTTTTGTTCAGCTTTTTTACTTGTTTTCTTTTTTTCAATATTAATAAAATAACAAATAGGAGTGGGGAGAGGGAGGGAGAAATTCAATCATCATCAATAAAAAACAATACAATTTTCATTTTACTTACCTCTCCTTTTCTCTCTTTCACTTTCTCTCTCTCTCTTTCTCTCTCTCTGTATTCCACAGTTAAGTGAGTTTTTATATGAATTTTATTCAATACAATATTCGAAACAAGAATGACTACTATAAAAATATAAGAAGAACAAGAAGCAAAAAAAAAAGAAAAACCAAATAACAAAATGCATTCATACATCATCACCAACTTTCCATCCTCGTCACACGCTATAAAAAAACTAAAAAAAAAACAAAAAAAAAAGGAATTTTTTTTTTGTTCGACTTCTATTTCTCTATTATTTTTTTTTTTTTGTTATTTCACTTTGTGTTCATTACAATAATAATAAAAAAAAAGCCATGACTGTGTAGGACATAACTATATATATAGGTAAATACCATAATAGAAATCTAACAATAAAATCTAACTAACTATTATAATTGCTCTACATAATATATATATATATATATATATATATATATATATACACATATACCTACGTGTATTAAATACTTGACCGTGAACTTTAAAAGAAAAAAAAAATTTCTTTATAAAATTTCAATGGAAAATTTTCGTTTTTCTTATTTTCTATACAGTTTTTCATTTCAATTATATTGTGCAAGTACGTAAATTATACAATACTTGTATATATGCATCTAAATGTATATATAGAGAAATTTTATATGTATAATTACCTACCACACAATAATATATTGGAATAAGAAACATACGTCTATTTACTGGGTGATTTTTTTTTTTTGCTGTGAAATTTTTTGTATTTTATTTTTCTGGTGTTTTATACTTGATTCGGAATTGGATTTAATTTGATCTGATCTTTCCCATATAGAAAAACTGAAAGTTCGAATAATATTTCCAAATTATTTGTTTTGCTGCAACTATGTTACGATTTTTAAGTTATATAGTTAAGTAACAAGCAATTAGAAAATTTGTTTCTTGTGAAAAATCTTCATTTCTCTATATTGAAAATTTGTCGATTACGATAAATTACAAAATAATGCTACAATTTTGAAAAACATACTTACTCCTAAATTTTCAAATTTAATTTTCTTAAATGTGCAAATTTTTCAATTATTTTACTATAACAGCAAACTAGCGAAATTATCACAGTAGCGAAATACCTGTAGTTACCTGTCTTTTAATGAGCTTCCTCAAACGTAGTCGTATTCAACATTTATATAGCTGAATCTGTATTTGAAATGTAAAGTACCAGTTCTAATAGAAATTATATGATAAATTTTTAAATTTTTCTGTGATTTTCATTCAGAATTATCTCGAAATATTTATAAGAAATCACCCAATTTTTTTTACAAGTTCAATATAATAATATATATGTGTGGGTATATATAGATTTGTGAATATTATTTAATAATCCATTTTCATTTTTAATGTAAAACTATTTATAGTATACATATATATATAAAATATTGTAATTGTTATTCAATAAAATATTTATATAATGTTATAACATCCAAATCATTTTAATATAATCTTACGCCCCCATAATCTTGTTTCTTTTATATTACATTATAATATATAGGTATATATAAGTAGTTCAGTAGATTTATTATATAAATATTTTATATGTAGGTATTTATATAATTATTGTACTCTTATTCATATATTATAATACCAATTGGTCATGAAAGTTAATAATTTTGTTTTTTATATAAAATTTTACAAAATTTTCTATTCATTCATTTTATATATACATATATATCTCTATTTGTAGTAGAAATAGTCTCCTTTTCCTTTAAGAAAAAAAAATTGAACAAAATTATAATATTTTAATTTTTGTTCATCTGTCCTTCATCTACCAATTTGATTTTGTTTGTTATTATGACTCGAGGTGAAATGAAAAAATCATTGAGAAATTTATTCATTCATTTAATAATAATAATACTGAATGAAAAATATTGACATTTCAAAATCACTTCAATTATAGCATAAAATAAGAAATTTTTCCTCAAGCATAAAATATTTTCAGTTATTGAATTTTGATATTTATTGTGGGTGAAAAGGAAAAGTAACAAATTAATTTTTTAAATTAATGTTGTGTATAATAGAATGTTTCCTATGTCCCCTAATATTTTTCAAAGGGAAGTATGGGTGGTTCGGAAACAATTTTAATATTTTTATTTGTTTAATAATAATGTATAATATAAAAATCTTGCAATGTAATTAATGTATATTAGAATTTTTAAGTTTTTCAAGTATTGCCCCTAAAAGTATGCAAATTTTCAAAAAAAAAAATTATTTCATTGCTTTGTCGCATTCAAAATTCAAAGATTTCGGATTAAATTTTTTCATATAAAGGTCTACTCTTTTACATCGTACATTTAAACTAGCGCTGGCTAGTAACTCTTTAATGTGATTCATTTGAATTTACTGAGAAATTTTCAGTTCAAATTAAACATGACCGACATGTTTAAAATGTTAAATCAACTTTCAATAATAAAAATCTTCTAGAAATATTATGCCTTTAAATTTTTTTTAAAAAATTCCAAATTCAATTATAACTTAACATTTTTTTTTTTTCATATTTTCAAATTGTACCAAGGAAATGTAATATTTTTCTTTTTTCTCCGAATACACCATTTTCCATTTCATTTTTTCTCTTTTTTTCATATAAATTTTAATTTTATTATTATTATTTTTTTCCCCAACATTTCATTCTAACTATTTGAATATTTGTGTATATATTAATGCTCTACAATATTAAATAACAAAATTCTTTTCAAAATTGAATAAAATTATTATAGAAGAAGAAAAAAAAAATAGAAAAAAATAGAAAGAAAATAAGAAATAAAAAATGCATTCAATGTCACGTCGCATAAAACTAATTTTATACTAATAATAACAGTAATTTTCTGTCCTCCATTTTATATACATATATATGTATGTATATAATATATATTTGGTTTTTTATATATTTAAGTATCCTTCGTGATTTTTCTCTACTCTTTTTTTTTTTTTTTGCATATTTGATTTTTTTCTTCTCTTCTCTAATTTTGCTGACAATGCTATTCATTTACACACTATGTAGGAAAAAAATTTCTACCATATTAAATATTTGAAAGTGTTGCCATCATTAATTTGTAGTGAATTTTAGTTCAAAGTGTTGTTGAAAAATGTTACCACACAAAAAAACAAAATGTGTGAAAAATTTTGTTTTTCAATAATTATTGTTGATAATTTTGTATTAATATTTTTGTTCTGTGTAATGTATGTGATAACTTGGACTGACAAACTCTCCATTCACATATATAGGGTTAGATTTCTCAGTGCTTGGAGCGCAAATATGGTGAAAAATAATTAAATTTTAAAATCTTGTGAATTTTTTCAGCACGCTACTACAAAAAATTGGGAAAAAATGTGACTTTACTGCAAGAAATTTTCAAAAACATGAAAAATTTATGAGATTTATAAAAATGTGCTCTAGTTCAAATCAACATTTTTTTGATTAAAGAAGAAGCTTTTCATTGAATGTGCAATAGTTTGAAAATATTCCGAAATTTGTTTTTTGTGAGGATAATTAAATTAATCTCTTTTTTAATAAATAAAAATTTGTAATCGTATTTCGTACAATAATAATGCAGAGAAATATATTAGACCCCATAGTGCTTTTCTTAAATGTCAGACCATGGTGAATTTTCTCATAAATTCGTGTTACTCGTATAAATAAACAACGTAGAAATTATCAATTGAGGTGTTAAAACATACAATAATTTTTTTGCAGTGTAATGCATATTTGAACCGTCACTGCGTAGGTGTATATGTTAAATATATATAAATATATTATATACTTAATAGATATTTTGATTTTAATATTGGTAATGATTTTGGTATTTGGTTTATTTCCTCCTTATATTTTCTCTTTATTTTTTTAAAATTAAATTGCCAGGATAATCGTTATTTATTGAAAACAAAAATGTAATAAAAAAATGTATTTTTTTTTATTCACTCCGATATCCTTAAATGCTACTATGTGTTTTTATCTATGAATCAATAATATGAGAAAAAAATTGCGATATTTGTGGAATAATGGTGGAATTTTTTTTTTTTTCCAAATAACAATACACAAATAAAATTGAATATTATGTGGAAAATGTTTTATTGTTATTATTAATATTTTTTTTATATATTGTGTACAATAATGTTATCCTTATTATTATTTTATACAATGTTATTATTATATTCATATATATGTATATTATTTTCTTTATATTTCAGTCATTGGGTGTGGTTTTATATGTATTAGTATGTGGTGCTCTCCCGTTCGATGGTTCCACATTACAATCATTACGTGATCGTGTTCTATCAGGACGTTTTAGGATTCCATTTTTTATGTCATCAGGTAAGTTATAATATATTTTTTTATATATTTTTAATTTTAATATGAAATAGTATGTATAACATACTCGTAAATATATATATTAATATAATCAAAATATAGGGTAAATAAATAAATAGAAAGATTTTGTTATTTAATTTTCTATTTAAATAAATAAATAATTTAAAATACATGATATACGAGTATACTCGTAAATACATATAAATATGATATTAAATATGATACTCGTAGATACATATAAATATATATTTTATTTTGTTTTGAAATATTTGTGATATGTTGTGGGGTTATAAGACTATAAGTTTATACTATTATTTTAATTCTTATGATATACAAAGGATTTAAATTCGATTCTAATACTAGTATAATGTTAAAAAAAAATGTGGTCCATATTTTATTGAGTAAATTGTTCTAATATTCTATATAATTTATGGTATATGTCTGGGGTGGTTGTAGAAAAATGTATAAAATGTAAATTTTAAATTTTAAATTGTGATTATTTTAATGTCAGATACTATAGTCAAGATGATAGATTATTAAAGAGAATATTAAAATTTGAATTTGGAATTTTAGGATTTAAATATGGTCGAAGAAATATTATGAGACAATAAGAATTTTCATTTGCTGATTATTTTGCTATTTGCTAGGTATAAGATTATCAGCTACTCGTTTCTTGTGTTCCATAATAGGAAAGGACCCCCAAGAAAACTCGTTATTTTTTTTGAACTTGTGACCCTTCGGTTAAAAGGCCAGTGCCATAATCACTGTACAATTGGTCAAATAAGAAAACTCGTTTTTATGAAATGTAATTAGAGAAGCAAAGCAATTAAGTATAAAAGTCTATGAGAATTTTTGATCACATTTGAATAATAAAACTATGACATGATAGGGTGTGTTTTAGTACTAGATAATTTGATTGTATATTTCCCCTCAAATTTATTATTTTCAAAAATGAGACAAAAATTAGGGAAAAATATTTTGAATTTAATGTTTTATTAATTATAATTAATATGAATACATTACATATTATTATGAGGTCCCTAAAAATATGCAAGTTTTTGTTTTTTTTTTTAAGTTTGGGTTATCTTTTATTGTTGTGTTGTATTAAATAACCAGTTTTAAAATAATTTAACTTCTTTTTTGCAAAATATACAATTTTGCTATAAACTTACTTAATATCTATATACATTTATAACATATTAAAAAGATGGCCCAAGTAAATGCTTTCTGGAAATTTTACTCATTCTGTCAAACTCAAGGATCAATATTCATTCGAAATTCATGTTAAAGTATTTATGTATATATGTGTGTACGACATTATGTAAAGCTCCTATATGGAACTTCTATATTTAAATTCTGTAAATGCCGTATTTATAATACAACTACTAAAGAAACGTGCATTTTCTTCCCGTCATTTTTATGATTTAATTGTTAAAATTAGAAAATTTATAAAATAACGCTTGTCTAATACCAATAGTAAGATTTACGATATTTAATTCATTTCCTTTTTATATAACTACTGCAATTTATTTCTGTCATTTTATTAATATATCAGTTAAGTAACAATCAGCATCATCTCAGAATGTATCAATTTTCTAAAATATCTCAAAAATATACCAAAAAAATTTTCTAACTTAAAATTCTCATAACTTAAATTTTCATGTGTATGGTTGTATTATATTACTTGTAATATTAACAATATACAATATGATGTGCTCATATGTATAGTTTTTAAATATATAAAAAAATTTTTCAATAATCCCCCATACGTGTATGTATGTATGTACATGCTTCACATTGAACACAAAAAAACCAATCATTATTTTATTATTTTTAAAGGAAACGTAAAAGAAAAAACGCAAAAAAGAAAAACATTAAACCCTTTTTCATTTTTTACAGTTTTCTTTATCAGATCAAAGTGTGACAAAAATTATTCAAGGGTTAAATTTTAAAATTTTCCTCTTTTTCTTATTTTATTTTTTTATTTTTATTTTTACTAAAGTTAATCTTAAACCGGATATTATTTGGGAGCGGTTATGAAACAAGTTAAATAGAATAAAATCATTTTTCTTTCTTGTCATCATCAGTAAAATAATAACAAAAACAACACAAGAACCATAGAAAAATAATAAACAACAAAATTTATCTAATTGCAAAAAAAAAAAAAAATAAAGAAAATGCAAGCAAAAAAAAAACAGAACCTATTTCAAAGTTTTACTCTCGAGGTCATAAAAATTTCCGTTTATAAATTTTCTTCTTAATTATGCACAAATTCAATTTTAAACTAAAAAGAAGGAAAAAAAAAACAACCAAATAACACTGAAAACCAAAAACAACCATAAAGAAAATTGAAAAAAAGTAAATGCTTGGAAAATATTATTGGATAAGAGAAATTAAGTGAAAATTATGTAAATGTGTTTGTGTGTGTGCCTTCATATACTTGAATTTTTAAGGATAACATGTAGTATGGGAATAAAGATTTAAGAAAAAAAGAAGAAAAGAAAAATTGAAAATTCTGTAGTATGTAGGAGGTAAAAGAAACAAAAATGAAAAATAAAAAAAAAAAAAACAAAATCCTTGTCATTCTTGATTCTTCATAAAATTTCCGGAAATAAAAAATTTCCTTTTCAATTTTTTTTCATTTTGTATTTTTGTTTTCTTATTATTTGTTCATTGAAATTTCTTCAAATTTTTTTTCATTAATTTTTATGTATCAGATTTATGAAAATTTTTTTTTCTTGTTTTACCTTTAAGGTGATTTTCATATACACCTTAAATTCATTTTTTTCAACTTTTCCTTTATTTTCTTATTTCTGTTTCATTAATAGTGTGTGTATCTAAAAAAAAAATAACAACTATACACAAAAAAAATTATCATAATTTAATTTTTACCTTAAGGCTTATAGACATGTTTGTAGTTAATTATTTGTAAAAAAAAAAAAAAATTATTCAGAGCAGATTTTTAACAACATTTCATGTTCCTTTATCCTATTTTAGTTTTTTTTTTTTTTGTTTTTCATCAAAAATATTCTCCCCATTTTCTACATCAATTAACACGTAATTTACTTTGAAATACACACATAATAATAATATTCAGTTATAGAGAGAGAGAGAGAGTAGAGAACATACAGGATGCAAATACCTTGAAGCAACTTCCTTAATATGGAATTTTTTTTTTTTTTTTTAAATATTCTTGTACATAAGAGGATGGATAAAAAAGAACACTAAAAAAAAAAAACGGAGCAGCATCAAAAAGATTTGCGGTAAAAACAACAAAAAAAAAAAAAAAAAAAAAAAAAAAAAAAAAAAAAAAAAAAAAAAAGAAACTAAAAAAGAAGAAAATGAAAAAATTTTTTCCAAAAAACAAAGTGGAAAACAAGGAAAACAAAAATTTTCCGACCTTATTAAGGATACAAAAGTAAAAAGAAAAAATAAAAAAATTTTTTTTTTTTTTTTTTTTTTGAAGAACTTGAAAAACTAATTTTGTTATATTTTGCTGTTTTTCTTTTTTTTGTTCATTTTTTTCTCTCCTTGAAGGTATATAGGTAGTTTTTCGCTGACTTTGACGTCATTAAATATAAAAACAAAAAAAACAAAATGAATGAAAACTAATATAAGTGAGGACCTTATATATATATTATATTTTTTTTTAATTTTTATCGATTAAATGCAAAACGGCTTAAGTCAATTTTAAGAAAATTCGGAAAATTTTACTTACTATAGAAAATTTTATTTTTTTTTTGAAAATTTGTAGGCAATTTGAAATTACCGCTACTACATATGTTAAATGGCAAATATCAAAATTAATTTTAAATTTGAGAATTTTTCTTCCATTAGTTTCCAGAAATTAAAATTTTGAAAAAGACTCAAAGGATAATAATAATAAACTTCATTTGTATAGAAATTTTTGGGTGTACGTCATCATTTTTAGTTAAAAAAAATTATGAAAATTATTAAGAAAATAAAGAAAGTAGACAGACCGAAAATGTTTGTATTAGATCGTGTTCATACAAGAAAAATTTTTAATACAATTTGTTTGATTTGATAAAAGTTTGACGAAAGTTTGATTGAATATTGCAATCAAAATTCATGAAGAATAATTGAAGGAATTATTCAAATTTGAAAAATTTTGTATTTGTAGCTGGATTAATCGAAAAAAAATCACTTGAAACACAATCGTTTAAAACACAATCTTTTTTTAACAATTTAAAATATTGTTCGATTCCAAATATATACTCGAATTGAAATATTTCGAAATTTTACTAAAATATACTATATTTCTAAAGAGGTTCACTTTTATTTACAATAAAAAATGTCTTTATATATTTTTCATCATTCCAACCAAATGCTTCAAAAAATCCAAATTCTCGACTTAATACTTTTTTGATTACAAAATATAAAAAATGTGCTATTATACAAGTATGAGTCGGCACAAATAGATATATACATACATAGTATCGATATATGTATGTAATAATATCTATATATATTTATACTAATTGTATGTATGTATGTATATATGCATATAAATAATTTTTATATTTATAACAAATGGACAAACTTATTTTTAACATTTTATATTACAATTAGAAGGTGAGTTGGTGCGCATAAATACTGAACACAAAAAAAAAAAAAAAAATGAAAAACAGAAACACAAAAACTAAAAATAAAATAAAAAAAAAATTAAATTGAAACAAAAAGAAAATGAAATAAGTATAAAGCAACTGAAATTTACTGTGAAAAAAAAGAAATGAGAGAGAGAGAAAAAAAAAGGATGAGATTATCCTGTTCGTGTACCTTATATAAACGAGCTTTGATATAAAAATGTTGGCATTAATTATAATTAATTTGTTTCTTTTTTTTTTGCTTTGGTTTTGCTGAATGAAAAGATGAATTATTTTAAAATAATTGTTATACAATATAGAAGAATTGTTTAACTCGATTTAATTTAAAAGTTAATCGCATTTAATCCGCAGAAGAAGAAGAAGTTCTAAGAGACCGAG